AGATTTGCATTGAAATATCTTAGAGGTCTCACAAGGGCCTTTTCTGGTTCTCATACTAACATTGTGATGAGTAGATATTGACTAGAAAGATGTATGTCTATATATAGATATGGCGTGATTTTTCTTTTTGTTCTTAATTCTTTACAGTTGATTATTTAAAAGCCCGCCCTATGATACTATTATAGAAAGATTAAAATTAAAAGCAGATTGTAATTTGGGGCACCTGAGTGGCTCAGTCGGTTGAGAGTCCCATTTTGGTTCAGGTCATGATCTCACAGTTCGTGAGTTTGAGCCCTACATTGGGCTCGCTGCTGTCAATGCAGAGCCTGCTTAGGATCCTCTGTCCCCATCTCTCGCTGCCCCTCCCCCACTCATGTTCTCTCTCTCTCTCTCTCTCTCTCTCTCTCTCTCTCTCTCAAATATTCGATTTTTTTAATGTTTTTATTTATTTTTGAGACAGAGACAGACAGAGACAGAGCACGAGCAGGGGAAGGGCAGAGAGAGGAAGACACAGAATCCGAAGCAGGCTCCAGGCTCTGAGCTGTCAGCACAGAGCCTGACACGGGGCTTGAACTCACGGACTGTGAGATCATGACCTGAACTGAAGTCAGATGCTTAACCGACTGAGCCACCCAGGCGCCCCTCTCTCTCAAACATTAGAAAAAAAGACTAATTTTAACAACCTTCATAGCATAATTAATAATTTGTTTATAACTTTTATCTTTATGTTTTGTGAAAATTTGACAACTTTGATGTTTTCAAATTCTAAATTTTGAGAGGGCTGACTAGTAATTTCTTAGTTATTTTGCATGAATTCACATTTTAGTACATTGTAGTGAGTGTTAGCCAAAGTGATGCATGTTGCTCATGTATCCATTTAAGTAGTTTAGTAGGATTACAGAGTTCTTTGCCTAGTTGGCATACAATTTTTTTCTTTGTCTTATACAGTAGCTGTCCCCTTATCTGCAAGGGTCCAGGACCCCCAGTGAGTACCTGAAATGGTAGATAGTACTGAACCCTATATCTTCGGTGTTTTTTCCCCACTTTTACATGCCTGTGATAAAGCTTAATATAGAAATTAGACACAGCAAGAGATTAACAACAATAATAAAGTAGAACAGTTGTAATAATATACTGTAAAATGTTATTTGAATGTGATCTCTCCCTCTCAAAATATCTTACTGTATTGTGCTTACCTTTCTCATGATGATGTGAGATGATACAATGCCTGCGTCATGAGATGAAGTGAGGTGAATGGCATAGGCACTGTGACATACATAGCATTAGGCTACTATTGACCTTCAGACAGTATGTCAGAAGGAGAATCACCTGCTTCCAGACGTGGTTGACTGTGGCTGAGACTGGAAAGCATGGCTGAGGAGGGACTACTGTACCCCTAAGAAAGCAATCATGTAGTTAAATGTAAAAACCAGGCCACATAGTGAAGTTAAACAGTGCTCTGAAGACTTCATACTGTTCTAAAGAAAATCAGGTAATAATGGATATTGAGAAACAATATGCTCTGCCTTTCTTACTTTTCCCATTTAGTATGGTGTCTGGGACTCTGCTAGCTTGTATTGTTTGCTGGATTCTGTTAGTAATGTAGGAATCAGCAAGGTAACTTCAGGATGGACCAGAATTGCCATGAGGTGTAGATGAAGTTAGTAGACATTTGGAGGTCTAACAATTTTCGAAACATAACGGCTTACATGTCTTTTCTATATCTTTTTCAGTCTTGTTGGTTTTGTAAGTTTAGCATATCCTTTAATGTGTGGGCAGTTAAATCAGGTGCTTCATTCTCCATTTTAAGGCCTCTGGCTACTTTTAGATTTTTTTTTTTTATATAAACCTCTCATTCTGGTAAAACGTGCAGAACAAATTTAAATTATTAGCAGATGTTTCCATTGACAAGAAAACATTTGAAAGTGATTGTTTTCATTATTTTTCCCCATGCATTTAATTAATGAATTTGACATCCCCCCCCCTCTTTTGGACGAATTTTGATGCAGTTTTTAAGATAGGATTTAGTAAACCATTCTGACTGTTGAAATTATGGTATAAAATTTTTCATGAAAAATTTTTCTATTTTCCTAATTAGAAATGTCATTATTCTTCATACAAAAAAATAGAATTTGTATGCCACATAAGTTTTACATTAGGATTTAAGGGCACATTTGACCAGTGTAAATTAGGAATGTTTATTTATGCATAGTTTATTTCTTAAAGTTTATAATGTGCAAATGAATGAGAGTCATTCAGATTAGTATATACTGACTCCTATAGAAGTAAATTGTCCACATTTATCTTAATGTGCCCTGGGGGTGTGTGTGCGTGCGTGTATGTATCTATACACACACACACACACACACACACACACACACACACACCCCTGTATGAATTGGCTATATCCCCCTTTTCTACTCCCACATATCAAAGGAAATAATAACCTTTCCCCAATCCTGTCAACAGCAGTAAAACAGTCCACAGCAACATTTGAAGGTCACACAAAGCTTTACTAAAGTGAATATTCATCATCTTCAAAGTTATCTCGTATTAAGTACAGTATTAAAGAGCCTGTTGATCAATTTTTCTATTAAAATAACAAGATCAGATGTTGATTATCAAACTTAGTGTTAATTTCATGGAGTTTGATGTTTGTGCACAAAAAATGCACAAGTGTGCTTTTTTAACTGATGTCTAACTTTGTGATTACACCTAGTGGGGGAAATCTTGTTACCAAGTTGTTAGACTGGGGTTTCATCAGGAAGTTGGATGTTATACTGGAATTGTTGGTCCTCTGCAAGAAAACAGAATGCTTCTTTTGAGTGAATAAGCCAGGAAAATGAGGCGAGGGGTTTATTTCAAAGGTTTTTTTTTTGGTGATGGCATAAATACATAACAGGTTATAAAATCCAATTACTATATTAAATTTCATCACTTGTTTTTTAGGTATTCCAATAACTGTACCACCTCCAGGTAAAACTTTTTTCATGTTTTCTCCATCATTGTTAATAAACATGAAATTTCAAGCTTATAGTTCCAGGAGGGACAGTGTCGATGTGGTTAGACTGTGGAATAGGCTATTGGGATTTCAAGGTCCTATTTTCAGCTCTGCCTTTGCTTCATTCCAGTTTTGATTAAGATATTTAGTTTTCTTATACCTGTCTTACCCACTTTTTGTAGAAATAGAGAGTCTGAGAAAATTCTCACCATATCAATTTGTTGAAGAAAACAGTATGGGATATAAAAAAATATTTGTATGAAAAAGTTTTTTCAGACCAGTGAATTTTTTATATGCTAAAGCAACTGCAAAGAGAAGAGAAGGATCATTATCTTGACTTTTTCATGGTTTCTGATTTTTTTACCCTGCTGGCATAACTCAGTATCGTGAGAAAATACGTTCTGAACCATACAATTAGGTAGATTGACAACTGGTCAGATGGTTGTTCTTAGGGTGGTCATTAAATTGTTGATTGTTGTAATGGTGTGATCAATAGTTTGTATGTGACCAAGGGTTGTTTTTTGATACTTTGTCAGTGTTGCCTTTTTAAAAATATTTTTTTGGAGTGTGATGCAAATGTGATAGCAAGTGTTTTACTGAGTTCAGTATTAAAGGCCAAGGAATATAAAAAGAAGAGATGACATTGCTCGGAAGGGTGGGTCTGGATTCACAATGACCTTGATAAACAGAAATCGTGGAAGTTTAGGTAGCAGAGGATAGTATGCATATGTAGTTGTGGGATAGTGAGTCACTGATTGTATATCAATGTGGCTGAAAAAGGCTTATCAGGAAAAGTCATCTAAAGGAGCCATTGGTGTGTCTAGTTTAAAAAGAAATGTGGTTGAAAGGGTGTATAAGATAGGCTTTTTCCTGCCATTAATTGCTAAACTTCACAGTTCTGAGATGTTTAATAGAGAAGTTACAGATCCTGACACTGGGTGCAGTGAAGATGAGCATGGTGAATTTGAAACAACTTGCAGCAGGGCCGAAAATGGATTTAAATGGACTTTGAGAAGGGTTAAGAGAACTGGGATTCATTTTTACATCAATGACTGAAGAAGGAGGCTTAGTGGAAGTGTTTTCAAATATGTAGAGGGTGATAGAGAGTATATGACGATGGATTGCTTCTTGTCATTCAGGACAGCATATGAATTGTAGTGTGAGAGATGTAAGTCACGTAATTTAGATCATTTCCTGACAGTGAGGGTTGTTAGAACTTGGAAGGAATTGGTATCATAAGTTGTAGAATCTTAAAGTCTTTTGTTGGGATGCTTTATTGACCATCTGAACTTGCAAGTGCAGAGTAGATTAACTGTTAAGGTCCCTTTTAGCCATATTCTGTGGTATTTCATTTAGGTATTATGAATTACTGAGAATGCAGACCTCATGATATAAAGATACAAATTATTTTCCTTCCAGACTAATCCAGAAACTATATTATGTGCCCTTCTTTGTAAAATAGTTCTTCAGGGTTGTGCTATCTAAAACATATTTTATGATGGATGTTCTCAGCCTTAAGCATTTATATATTTACTGGTAAGATTTTATTTAAAAATTATAATTTTAAGGAAATTTCTATACATCTAAAACAAAGTATTTTTTGAAAGAGGTAAATGCTATTTTATTTGCTTTTCTTCAAAAGTATTTCAAGTATAACATATCTGGTGGCAACACTACTACTGTTTATATATGGATAAGGTAAGGCATTGAGATTAACTTTCTCATACTCACAAAATGGGCTGTGTGTGGTGCTGAAAATATGACCGGGTGTCCTGACTCCCAGTTTGTGCTCTGTGTATTAGACCAGACTGTTCATTTAAAGTTTTCTTGCTCAAAAAATCTGTTTATAAGTTTAAGCTTCATTTTTTCTGTCCATTATAACATAGAGAAGCACGTTATGTCCCCAGAGAAATTTAGTGATACGCAGCAACTTTGTTTCATACTTGACATTAAATGGACATTCTATTAACTTTTTTTATCTTATGATTGAATGTTTCAGGTTTTCCTCCTCCACCAGGCGCTCCACCTCCATCTCTTATCCCAACAATAGAAAGGTAAATCAGTATGGATAGTATAAAACTTTTTTATGATTTGTAGACTTTTGACAGAAAAGTCACATACGTATCTTGGTGATATTTTCAGAGATTTAATTTTGTAAACATGAAGTAGTGCCTGAGTCTGGATCTGGGTTAGCTACTTTTATGTAAGACGTTGGACCTATAGTCCCGTAACAACACAGCACAGAGAAAACCAAATGATAGTATTTTGAAATATCTTGGTTTGATTTATGACACACTGATGAAAGAAATTCCTAGATTGGTAAAAACGTGGCTGTAGTCATTTTTGTGGTGTCTACAGATGACTAGTAATCATGAATAATGCACGTCTGTTTTATGATTAAGTAAGGACAGTTCTTAATGTGGACCATAATAAAAGCTGCCCTATTCTTTATGAGCCTGCAGTAACTCAGCTTTCACAAAGGAAGATTGGATCCATTCTACATGGCAGTAGCGTTATTTTTTATGTCCTGCAGCACTAGAAGTACTGTACTAGAGAGTATTTACCTCTTTACAGAGATGCCATTTATTTACATAGATGGCAATATGGTGTTGAACAATATAGGTTTTGGAAGTCTCCGATCTGGCTCAGAGTTTGGCTTCAGAATTCCCTAGTTTTGTGCTGCTAGGCAAGGTTCATAACTGTTCTTTGAGACTGTTTCCCCTTTTACCAAATGGTGTTTAGATAGAGTTGTGAAGATTAAAACAGCGAGTGAATAGAACAATCAGCACAATTCTTGGCAGATAGAAATCAATAAAAAATGGTAGCCATTACTATTTCCTCTAAAGTACCAAGTAAATTTGATGAAAATAGTGTATTTCTGAAAAATGATCCAAATTCTATTAATAGAAAAATTGTGAGAACTTTACATCAATAGCATCAAACCACGCATAATTTTCAAAAAGGAAATGATAAAGCCCAGTCTTAATTGTGAGAATATAAGGATTTAATTTTATTACGTCCTTGTTAAATATTTTTCTCAATCAGTAAATGTTAAAAAGTATTATTTGTTTATCCTGTCAGTGGGGCTGAATTTCTGAATCATTAAAACCCTTTTTTTTTTTTTTTTTTT